CCCCGCCATCAAAATTAACCTAACAACAACAACAACATCAAAGCAACAACAATAAACAACAACAAAAAAAACCAGACAAAAAAAAAGATTCACAACCCCCAAAAAGATCCCTGAATGTTGTTACCAGGAAAACAAACTCTTTGCAAATACCTGAAATCAATATTTTCAACCTAAAAAAATTGATAATAACTTCCTTTTGATCTCTAAAGCAATAATTAATGTCGTTTTTTTGGTGTTAACATTCAGCTTTTGGCTCTCCTGTAAATTCATCCGGTGCCTTGCTGACTAGCGTGGACGATCATGTACCTCCACTTCACTCTGACTTGCGTTGCAGCGATGGTGTCTGTTGTTCTTGCTGTTCCCAGCCATGTTGTCAACTTCTAGTTCTAGTTGTTGTCCGTCTAGTATCTTTTTCCTGTGTCTGCCTTTCATGTATTATCATTAAAACTGCAAATACTGTACTTGTAGAAAGGTCAGCAGTGCCTGTGCGATGCCTTGTCTCTTGGCCTTGCAGATTTACCAGCCAATGTTCGATGTGGATACACTAATTAATTAATTAATGCCATGTAGAGGAACCTTGTCGAATCGGTGTTCAACGGAAGTGAGGATTGCACCACCGCTCTTTTCTAACCAAGTAGGAGTTGTGTTTCTCTCTCTCTCTCTCTCTCTCTCTCTCTCTCTCTCTCTCTCTCTCTCTCTCCTCATTTCCAGTTTCAATGCTCAGCTTTTCCATAAATTTGATGAAAGAAAATATCGCTCAGTTGGAAGATGTATTAGAGGGAAGTAACAGACTATCATTACAATATATGCTCATAAAACTGATATTTTCTTGGGAGATTTCTTGCAGTACTCATTATTTGGAGGATTCTGGGTATCGAATGCGTTTCTATGTCGTCCACATTGACAACAATGCAGTGACAACAGTCAATAGACCCGTTCATTGATTCTGCCCAAAATGCCAAAAGTCACTACGCCAGCAAAACAAGATTTCAAAAATCATTCTTATTATTCTTTCTCAATACAGGTAACAGATGAAAGAGAAAAATCAGGGTATGCCCCACCCGCTAACTTGGAGCCTACTTACCGCATGGAGCCACACAAAAGATTCTACGCCCCACAAGTAAGTCGGTGTCTTTCATTGTAGCGATGAAAGTGTCTTAGTGTTGTCTCGAAAGTATCCAAATCAAATATCTCCCCTTTCTTTTTCAGAGCCAATTTTGTTAACGTTCTCCAAAATGCTCTGCCAAGAAGTGTAGACTATACGAGCCACGTTCCATGGACACCGCTCTGTTTAGTCAGAAAGACCATTGCTGAAGTGTGGCAAACTACGATCAAGAAGTTATTGTTTAAGTTATAACCGAAAATGTAGTTGTAAAGAAGTTATTAAGATTTTGTCGACGTTGGAACAGTCTGTTCATTCACGAGTATTCATTACTGGCACGTTTTGACAGCATTTGCACAAGGCTGTGTCCTTGATGCGCATATCAGATTAAATTGAAATCATATTATCATTTTAAACAATACACTTTTTTTTCAATAAAACCATAAGGCTGTGTCCACGGAAAGGGAGAAATAAGGGAGGGGATCTCGTCGTATAAATCATACTGTTTAATGGTGTATTTGGGATGTGTGGTCAAAGGGCTTACTGATTTGAAAGAATCTTGTAAAATGAACGTCATGTGTACCGGTATACCCGATTCTCAAAGTTCTCTTTTTATCTCCACAGGTTCACACAATGCTCAAACAGATTCTGGAGGCTCACTTAGACGGCTTCACATACAACCCAAAATTCACACCTACTATGACAAAGGTGAGTGACTGCGAGTTTTCTTCTTCTTCTTCTTCTTCTTCTTCTTCTTCTTCTTCTTCTTCTTCTTCTTCTTCTTCTTCTTCTTCTTCTTCTTCTTCTTTG